GCTGCAATTATCCCTATAATTTATTTAAAACAACACGAATCGGCGAAATTTTTCAAAAATATTTTTTGACCAATCGGCGAAATAAGAGGCCCTTATCGCCTCTTATGTCTAAGCTAGGGGGGATCGATGTTCGATTTAAATATTTTTTGACCAATTTTCAAATCAAACCGTTTTAAAAAATTTGCAATTTTTTAAAATCGAACCCAATCATTTCATTTTTCAAACAAAGCTAAACAAAAACATTTTTTTGCTGTTCAGATTAGTTTCAAACCACGATTTACATAATGACTAGTCGACGACATTAGTAACATTAATTCTTACATTATATAATAAATTAAAATGTATGAAACATCTTTTCCTCACCGCATCCAGTAACAAATGAACTTAAATCGGTACCAAACTTACAAATATTAAGGAAAAATTGTCACACTAAATTTTTTTTTTCAAATGTACGTAAACCAAAAGAAAAGGAAAAGTTAGAATCCAGCCAGAAGTAGGTGCTGTTGAATCGAGGTGGGCTGTCAACTTGTGATTATCCAAGAAATAATTGAGAACATGGACACAATTATTGGCAGACATATGGTGGTGGGTTATGGCTTGATGAGTTTGATATGTCTACTGTGAATCACTTTGATTCGATTCAAAATTGAAACGTGGATGTGTCCATATGAATCTAAACTCAAATGAGTTCGATTTCATTTATGGTTTAGCGATTTTTCTATTTAGTCTCAATGCACGCAAGAAGTCATGTGTTGAGCTAGATAGACTATTACCAATACTAATTATTTTCACAAAAAAAAGATCAGGTATGCTTTTGATTTAGTAAATTACAGTTAATAGTTTGACCGTTATCAAATACTAAGCTCAAATTAAAACTGGTCAAAAAAAAATACTTAAGCGGACTTTTTTACCCTTTCAATCGGCAATAGATTCTGAACGTGAATACTGTTTTAACTTGCTTACTTTTGATTCTTGAAATACCGAGGTATTTGAATCGATAATTATATCTCACTATTGGCAAATCAAAGACCTCGAGTTCACGGATAGCAAGTAAATTATAAAACAGTCGAAGTGGTGTTTTATTCTCTTTTGCGAGATTGTGCATAGAATTAAAATCTTGCACAAATTGATCTGAGTCCAATACACTTTTTGATATACCAAATGTACTAGAATGACTACTCTCGAGATCATTTCACCACGATCAAGTCAAAACAATATACCAAGTGCACAAATTTTTTATAGTCCTGCTATAATGACATTAAAAAATGAATTTTGGAATAGTGATTGATGGAAGAATGTGTGATTGAAAAGTAATGAAAAATTTTAGATTTGTGTGTAATATTATTTTATTTAGAAAATGTGTAGTTGTAATGAACAAAGAGAAAAAAAAACGAGAATGACAATGAGTGTCAAACATGGCCAACAATTTTTTTTTTTTTTACCGTGTACGAGGTGGCACACTTTTTTACACTTGATTTCGATAACACTTAAAATAATAAAATTCACGGCACAATCTTTTACACCTCGTACAATGTCGGCTTAATGTATACATGAAATGTACTAACAGCATTTTCCAAATTTTTAATACTTTTAAAGACTACCACAGCTGGATCCACTGTCATCCATCTTTAAGGTCGTGACTACGACTCTCTGCCAACCCCCACCCCCACCCCCACCCCAACTAATCCAAGTTTAATTGAAGCTCAAGTAATAGCCCAACTAATCAACTGTCATCCATCTTTAATAGTTTGAACTTGATCTGTGGCCTAATTTCACATGACAATGGATTAATAAAAGTGTACAACTTTTTA